TGGTCTTTTGTTTGTAACTGGTAGTCGTGAAGGTTTAATGCAAGTTGCTGGACGTAAACATAATAGTGATGATTTAATAGCAACAGCTTTAGCTGTTGAACCAATGAAAGTTGTTTATCGTGCACGTGTTGTTATTTTTTCTATACGTGTTTTACGTGATGAAAGAATAATTATTGTTGCTGAACAACGACCAGATATTGGTGAAGATGAATGTTTTCAATGGATGAGTCGTGTATTACAAGCTATTGATTCAATACATCAAGTTGGAATTTATTGTCTTGCTTTATGTCCAGCAAATACATTACCTAAAGTAATTAAAATAGATATTTGTTATATTAGATATTGATTCATTTTATTTCTTGTAATAGACTCATTCAGGTACAATTCATGTTCAAGAAACACGTCGACGTTTACTTGAAGGAAATTTACATCCATGCTCGTATGTTAATTAGAAAAAATATTTTGCGTTTTTAAAGAATTAACTTATTTTTCTAGAGTTCTTATGTGTCCACATTCATGTATACTTAATTTACCTAAACCACGTGAACATCATCCTGAACGAGAAGTTGGTCCTGGTGCTATTTTAGCAGGTACAATTATTCAAGGTATGCGTTTAGCTGAAGCAAAAGGTGCTGATATGATTTTTAATGATGAACAAGATACATCTGATCAAGGAAAAAAAGTAAATCATTGAAAAACAAAATAATAATATTAATTTTAATTATTTTACAAAATTTTAAATATTTTCTAGCTTCAATATATTGATGATATTCTTCGATGGCGTTCAATAACAATGTCAGATCATATACTTTATTCAGTTATTAATGCAAAAGTTTGTCTAGAACTTTAATATATATATATATGAAAAAAAAAAGAACTTTTTTAATGAATATTATTTAGGGACAAGAATCAGCAAGTATAACATGTTTAGCAATGCATAAACGTAGTGAACGTATTGCATTAACAATTCTTGAACGTATTGATATGAAATCATCGGATCATATTGCTTTATTATATCCACCATGTGTAGATCTTGTTTCAGCTTTTTATGCTTGTTTATATATTGGTAACAAAAATAGAATTTTTTTTTTTGGCAAATTGAAAAATAAAAATTTAATTTTTTATTATTAGATGTTGTACCAGTAGCTATTCGACCACCACATGCACAAAATCTTCTTAATACATTATCAACTGTTAAAATGATGGTTGAATTAAGTAAAGCAAAAGTTATTTTAACAAATAGTTCTATTGCAAAATTACTTCGATGTAAAGTATGTAGATCATTGATGATGTTATTTTGTTTGTTTTTATTAGAAATCGAAAAATTTTTTTTTTATTTTTCTAGGAAGCTGCATCATTACTTGATCCAAAATTATGGCCATTGATAATTGATACAGATGATTTACCTAAACAAAAGAAAAATCATGTAGTTCCAAAAAAATCAATACCAACACAAACTCAATCACTTTGTTATTTGGATTTTAGTATTTCAACAACAGGTTCATTAACTGCTGTTAAAGTATGTTGAATTTTGGTTTTTTTGTTTTTATTCATACATAGATTTCTTTCTAAAAATTTTAATTTTATTAGTTATCGTATGGTGCTGTAGCTAATTTATGTCGTTCAATTAAATTAGCTTGTGAATTATATCCAAGTAGAGAAATTGTTCTTTGTTTGGATCCATATAATGGACTTGGCTTAGTACTTTGGTGTGTTATTAGGTTAGTTTAAATCAATGTTTTTTTTTTCTATCAATGATATTTTACTAAGAATTAAGAATTCAAGCTGTAAATCGAAAAGTTATATTATATTTTGTATTAAAGATTTATTCAGATGAAATTATGAATTTTAAATCTCTAATGATCATTTCAACCGTTGGAAATGTCGCCTTGAGAAAGCAATAAAACAGTGTATTAGAGAATAAATTTTCATTGCATTTCATTGTGATTTGTCATGTCGTTTTATGGACTGTTATTTTTGTTGGATTATGGAAAACGCTGACGTAATAGTGTTGTTTTTTAGACCTTACGACGTATTTTTTTCTCGAGAGTTTAGTATAAAATACTGGTGTTCTGTTAGTTTGAGAGAATACAAATGAGAATTTATTCTTCAGGACAATTACTTTTCCAGTCAGTTAAAATATTTTATACACCCATCACAAGATAAATTTAATCAATCTATAATATGTATACTTCAGTAGCTCATTGTCAAACATCATTTGATACTTCTGAGAACTAAGTGGTAAGACCTTCGGGAAAATAATTCTAAGAAGGCGATTGAATGTTGTTTACGTAAGTTTAATCTCTTCTAGAAGCATTACCAAAGGTTCTTTCCTCGCCTCTCGTTACATCAATAATGAAAACTTCAGATAAGTTTCTTGTTTCTGGAAAAACTTACAATGATATAGGAAGATATAAATAAATGCTAGTCTTTTTATTGATTGGAAAAAATAAATTCGTTTATTATTATTTTCTAGTATCTATGCTGGTCATCATTCAATTCTTATCGATCCAGCTGAACTTGAACTGAATCCATCAGTATGGATGAATACAATTAGTCATTTTAAAAGTAAAAAAAAAAAGAAGAAAATTTGTTTAATTTTAATTATTTATATTTCTAGTTCGTGATACTTTCTGCTCCTACTCGGTGATGGAACTTAGTACCAAAGGATTGAGTACATCAATTGTTGATCTTAAAGTTTGTTTAAAAATTTTATAAGTTTTAATTTTTTTTATAAATATTTATTCTTTTTAGACTCGTGGTTTATCATTATCATGTGTTCGAACATGTGCAGTTGTAGCTGAAGAACGACCTCGTTTACAATTGTTAAATTCATTTATTAAATTATTTCAAACATTAGGTCTTAATCCTCGAACTGTTAGTACAACATTTGGTTGTCGAGTAAATATAGCAATTTGCTTACGAGGAGCAAGTGATCCTGATCCAGCTCCTGTATATGTTGATCAACGAGCATTAAGAAATGATCGTGTAACTCTAGTCGAAAAAGGTAGTCCACATAGTTTATGTTTATTAGAATCAGGAAAAGTAAGTTTATTGAATTTTATTTAATAAAGAGAAAAAAATAAATTTTTTTTTTCTATAGCTTTTACCAGGTGTTAAAGTGGTTATTGCTAATCCGGAAAGTAAAGGTCAATGTGCAGATGCACATTTAGGTGAAGTAAGTGTTTCTATCTAGTCTTTTTATTTTGTTGGAATGTTTTTGTCTTTTTTTAATAATAAAATAATTATTTAGTTATGGGTTCAAAGTGGTCATAATTCACTTGGTTGTCAGATAATTAGTTATGGCGATAATCACCAACATCATGGATCAAATCATAATTCAGATCAATTTTATTCACATTTGGCAACGGGTGATATACGACAATTATATGCTAGAACAGGATATTTGGGTTTTGTTCGTCGAACAGATTCAATTGCTGCAGATGGAAGTAAGTTATTTTATGAATTAGAATACAAGAATTAGAAATATTATATTTATCAAGATGTTTTATGTTATGATCAAATTTTTTTTCACAAAATAGATTTGGCTATGTATTTATGGTTTTTATGAAGTTTTAAACAGGACAAAAAATATTCTTGCTTTGATTTTCAAAAATATCTAACTAAAAAACGAACGAAACAGAGAATTGCATGACTCTATCTAACGAAGGAAGTTCTTTAACTGATTAATCGCTTTTAAGTGAAGACTATGTGCATTATGTAAACCTGTAATGAGCTATGAACTGGCAGATTAGATCTTCTTATTTCCGGATAGGAACATTGAAAATATTTGAAACTTTCAAAATAAATTACTCTCACGAGACTAGCTTAAAAAATAGCGTAAAAATGCAATATCTATCTTCGCAGCAATAAGCTAAGGACACGAGTTCTTTTCAGAGTATTCATAATTCATTTGACTTTGCATAATGCACAGGATACCAACTCAAAAGCTATTAATCAATTGATGGACTACTCTTGTAAATCTTAAAGATCTGAAATTAATTTGAATGATTAAGTATATAATCGAATCAATTCGTCTTTTCTTCATTTCAACAAGAATTTTAATAAAATAGAATTGTAATAAATGAAATAAATTTATTTATTTTTTAGAAAATCACGATGCTGTCTATATAGTCGGTTCTGTCGAAGAAACACTTCTAATTCGTGGTATGCGTTATCATCCAATTGATATTGAAAATACAGTTATGCGTACACATAAACGTATTTGTGAATGGTATATTTCTTAATTCTTTAAAAAAAAAAAAACACTCATCGTTTCCTTTTTTCTTCTTAATTAGTGCTTGTTTTACTTGGACAAATTTACTTGTAGTTGTTGTTGAATATGATGGTCTTGAACAACATTCACTTGATCTTGTACCACTTATAACAAGTGCAATTCTTGAAGAACATTATGTGATTGTTGGCGTTCTTGTCATTGTTGATCCGGGTGTTGTACCGGTCAATTCACGTGGTGAAAAACAACGTATGCACTTACGTGATGGTTTTGTATCGGATCAACTTGATCCTATATTTGTTGCTTATAATATGTAGACTTATATATCTGTATATACATATACCCATCTATATAATACTCACCGAATATTTGGCAGATATTTTTTAATAAAAAGAAAAAAACTTTGTTTTGTGAGAAGGACGAGAAAAAAAACAGTAGTAGTCATTTGGATCTTTGATATTGTTTTTCTTTGTGTTTGTTTTTGCACATGATAAATCTAATAAAATGCACGTGTTTCTCTCATTACAGTTTTTTTTTTGTTTTCTATTTCATTATGTATTCCATTCTATTCTCTTTGCTATGAATTATTATGTTCGCTTTCTTTTTGTTTTTTGGTTGAATTGTGACGATTTTTTTTTCATAATATTTAAAAACAAAATAAAATAAAAATCTACAATGTGAAATAAGATATGAATATTAAATATTAATATGTTTGACAAACCAAGACAACAGAAAACAAAATTCAAAAAATTTCTTCTTTTTAGAGATGGCTTCTGTTATCACATCATCAGAGAATGAATCTGAAGAAGAAAATTCAAGTACATTTCAAAATATCATGCGTCATATAATGTCTTTTAAAGATGATCCTATATCTATTCTACTTATTCGTCATCCACCTGTACGTACAAGTATTGAAGCTTCAAATCAACGACAAGTTCCTTTACATAGTGGAGCTAAAGCAATGCTTGTTTGTCAAAAAAATACTGATCAATTTACATTAATTGTTCTTCCAGCTCATTTATCATGTGATAATAAAAAGATAGCTTCTATTCTTGGTATATCACAATCAAAATTACGTATGGCAACTGAAGATGAAGTACGAAAAATAACTGGTTGTATACCAGGTGCTGTTCCGCCATTTGGTGCTTTATTTCCACAATATGTTAAAACATTAATCGATGAAAAAATGTCACAATCAACATCACATCCACCACCATTAACATTTCATTCACAAGTAAAATTATTTTCAACAAATGATTCTGAATGGCCAAATGATTTATCACATATAATATTATCAGAAACTATTGATCAAAATCGAAATGATTGTATTAATTTTAATATAGGTTTAAGAACTATTTCATGTTCAATACCATTTAATGATTTTTTGAAAGTATTAGGAGAAAAAAATTATTTTATTTGTGATATTTCAAAATAAGAACAAAAGAAGAAAAAAATGTAGTTTAATAAATTTAACAATAAGGATTATAATAAGAATAAGATGGTGCATAGGAAAAATAAGATGAATGTTGATATACTTGTTGTTGTTGTTGATTAGACATATTGTATGAGTATGAATTTGACGTTGGTGAACTTTTATTATCATCTGCAAGTAAATCAGTTAATAAACGAATATATGCAGAAGCTGTTCGAAGTGTTTCAATTTTTGTTAATTTATCTTCTACAATAGGAACAGGATTTGTTGAATTATTTGAAGTATAATAAGATGATGTATCAATTGGTAATAATGTACGTAAATGTTCAAGTGCTTCATTGAGTGAACGCATTCTTGTACGTTCACGATCATTAGCACGTGAACGACGATGATATTTTAATTCTGTTGCTAGTATTGGATCTGTGATACGTTTACGACCACGACGTGATTTAGTTGGTGGATTAATATTAGAAGAATTATTATCTATTGTATTTTGATAGATAATTTTATCATCAATAGAAGAATTCATTTAAGATTGATTTGAAATCTATTTATTAAAGACAAAAAACAAATGATATGAATTCTTATAATTCGTTTATCTATTAATAATTTCTCATAGGTCACAAATTTTTTCTTTTTCGGAAAAATTCTTCATTGGTTATTTAGGAAAATATATATCCAATTGTATTATTCTTAATTGTTGCACAGCAGGATTCTACGATCGATAGATCATTCATGCATATAATTATATTCACACAGCACGATGCCGTTCATGTGCGTCGCACTTGCTCACCTTTATTTTTTTTTTGTTTTATTTTTTTGTCAAACAACAATTGTTAAAATAAAGGCGGAGAAATAAAGTTGTCAAATGAAATTGGATGTATAATAGATATTAACATGCGTATAAGTTCAAAGAAACTAGTAATTTTACTCTTGTGTTTTTTGTATTTTTATTTTCCATAGTTCAATGGAATGTTCTTTTTTTTTTTCTTCATATTTTACTTTGCATAGCAACAAAAAGAACAACAAGTATGTTAAAAGCGTGATCAACAATTTTTATTTCTAAATGATAAAAATATGATCTAAATAGTTGATCTATTTTTTTTGTTTTCTTAACACCATCGATTTAAAAGTGAACACGTGTATAGTTAATAGGAAAAAAAGATTTGTTTTTCTTTTTTTTTTTTTTTTCTTAGTCGTTAAAATCATCAGGAGGTCGATCACATTTTTCTAGAGTACTACTTGAATTTGACGTTCGAATAACTGATTTGCCATTGGGCATACACATATCTAAAATGAGTTTAATTCATTTTCATGATAAAAATAGAAAATAAAGAATATATTGATTTAGTTTTCATGCTGTGTTTGTTCTGTCAATCATTTGTCGTTGATCCGAATAAGTGTAATTATAAATGCGGTACCAACGTATACTGTTTGTTCTTTTAGTTAATATACGCGTGTGTCGAAAAAGGAGGGAAAAAAGAATTAGTCAGGTAAAGGCTGTCAACCATAAAAGACGACATACCTTTCAATTACATGGATCAAAATGTTTGATCTTTTCTTTTTTTTTTTTGTTTCTTTTTTTATTTTGAACTATACAGCAAAGAAGAATGTTTTAATTATTACAGAAAATATATAAGTTTTGGTCTTGTTTCATCGATACTTTTTATTCAGTAGTGTTATATGAAAAAAAAAACCAAATACAACTTTGTATTAGAGAAAGTAGTTGTGGTAATAGAAATGAGAACATAATTCAATAGTTCATCAGATAATAGCAACAAAATAGTAATGTAATTTTTTTTACTAATCTTTAATGACAACGAACCTTTTTTATATCGTTTCGTTATATTAAAAAATCGTCGATTCCGAAAGATACATTTTCCATTTCGTGAAGACTTGCTCATATCGTTGCCAAGTTGTTTCATTCTAGCCGTATTGAACACATAATCGTTATCGAATTCATCAATCACTACATATAAGCTTAGATTATAACTAAGTGTCTGTGAGAATAGAAAAATCTAATACGTACACATATACCGATACCAGCTAATCGAAAGTGTATTTTTGGTCTTTTTTCCTGATAGTAACGTTGGTTTTAACAATATCGGATAGTGCCATTAATTGTCTAGAGTTTATTTCTTTCTCTCCAAGACAAGATTTTTTTAATAAAGTTCTGAAATTGTTCAGGAGAAAAATTGTGTCGATGAATCGGAAAAATATCTAGATCATATAGTGTAAATCAAAAAATAATCGTAGCAAACAATTGAAAGAGAAACGAAAAAAGTGATGATATTACTTGGTCTATTAATATTTGGCAGTTTTCCATGTCGTTAGTCAATATGAAAAGTTAATGATTGATTACACGAATATGCATTATCAGAAAGAAGAAGAGATTGGTTTGATGATGTTCAAATTCAACTAACACAACTTTGGTTTACTGCTTGTTTACAATCATAGCAAAGGAGGGATAACACAATTACTTAGGCTTTGGGTGTCCTTAAAGTTATTTAGAAATTAGTGATTAGTTACGATATAATCTAAGAATATTAGTCTTTATATATGACCTTGTTTTATTTTCGTTAAGAAAACTAATGGTGAAAATAAAGAAAAGAGCACCAATATATTGATAAACACTCCAAATTTTAAATACATCTATCTATAATTGAAACATCTAGGATTATGACAAGAATTAAAACATATAATTATAGCTGAAATTTCATCAGTTTTTTATCTAGATTTTCTCGCTTGAGAGCCAAAAACCAATTTTTGGAAGCACAGACACATAGTACATGGTACAATAGGCACAAACTTCATCAGGAGCCAACCCGATTTTTGAAACATCTCGGGCTCCACGCTGGATAAAACACTGAATTTTACTGATGATAATCTTAAAAGTTTTGAAAAAAGACGATTAATATTTTAAGTGCATATCTGCTATCAACAAAACATAATCATGTGCAATAAATATTCTATTTTTCAATTTTTTAAAACTCAAAATGCCTCACTAATTCGAACTTAATAAGTTAAACTACTGGTTATATCACAATCCATGGCTTTGAATTCATAGTTGTTTTTATGTTCTTATTTAGCACATATGAACGATTTAGAAAGCTTTTTATTTTCAAAATATATGGTTGCACTAGAATTTGAGGATTTGTGCGAAAGACAATTAGCTAGTTGAATTAATTTTCATGTATTATTGTCATGTCCAGATTAGACAAAATTGAACTTACGACTAAATTAAACTTAGACAGAATTTGTCTTTAATAAGGTGCAAAACAACGAAAATAATTTCCTTTTATTTAAAAATAAATTTTAATTTTTACTTACATTAAGCAAACATAACACGTATTTGTCTTTTTTTTCCAACTAGACACAATATTCGTTTTCACTTATTCATATTATAATGTATGCAACAGAGGTGTTCACGGGGCAAGACAGAGAAGGCAGAACAACAGGGCAGGGCAGGAAGATATCTCCATGCCCTGCAAATTTCACACACACTAAATTTTGTTTGGAAATAAGAGTGCTTTGGTTTTTCTCGAAAATATGAAGAAAGGGATAAACAACACAGATAGTGTTATCAATGGGCATATAAGACTTTCGTATTCCAATGGTGAATATAGAGCCAACTCTAAGTATTTCAAAGAAACGAAAAGAATAAGGAAATCATACCAATGAACATATATTTTAATATTTGGTCAGAGTATCATAAGTCATCGAGTCGACTACATTCAATCGTTAATTTTTTGTGCTCGATGAAACCCAAAATGAATGAATAAAACTTTCCTGAAAAATCAATCTATTGTTTTCTGATTGTAGTAAAAAGCGAATCGATTTCTGATGTCAAGCAGTTGTCAAAATATCTTCAAAACTAGCGCTATCTATATAAGAATTTTATTTATATCTCCAGAGTCATCTTTCATCGGAAACTACACCAAAGATATTTGATATCAGAAAAACTAAATTGACTTTTGTGAAAGTTTCATCCAACATTTAGAGTTTTATCAAGCTAACAAACAATGTAGTCAACTGCCATTTTTCGTCACACTTTATGTCGTCAGACTACACACTATTTGTAATTGTTGATCATCTTCTTGTTGGTTCAGTATGCCAAATAAAAAAAAAATTATGCAATCATCATCAGCATCTGCTGATTTACATCTCGATATTTCTTCTTTTCCTTCTGTTGATGTTACAAAAGCATTATGAAATCAGAGAAGATAGACAAACTTCTTTTCGTGAGATCCATGAAAAACAATTACAAAAAGATTACAAGCACTTTTTCTTTTATAGCTTTCTCTCTTATTCCTAGTTCATTATTATTTGCTGTTAGGCATTATTGCTTTTTCTTGAATTACTTCGCAAATAAAAAACAGTACTGAAACCTAGATATAAACATTACAATATTTCTTTTGCTCTGTAGGGCACCAATTTTGAGAAGTTAGCAGGACAGGACAGGAAAAAAAACGCGCCCTGTGGACACCTCTGGTATACAGCAATGAATTCTTTTGCATCAACATCGGGAAATGTTTTCCGAAAGTATTTTTTATGAACAAGTTAATCAACGTTTTAATTTTTTGGAGTATTAAATTCTGTGAGGAGACAATTAGTATTCTATCACAGGAAATGCATAAGATAAAACATCCATATTGTTTTTTTTTGATTGGAAAACACTCAACAAAAATGAACAACATAATACATTTATACTTTAAATATTATCAATGAACTAAGTTAAATTCGAAGATTGATAAAAAAAATGGCACTCACAAAGCATAAGCTTAAAAAATTTGCTAAATCAAACTAGATTTCAATTAACCCTTTCGAGTCAATGGGATCCACCGGTGGGTACCACTATATTTTAAAGCCAACGGGTGATCCAGAATAAATGCTCGCACATGGCATTTCATATTCTAATCTCTACAGACATTTTATTAAAAGCAACAGCATATGCCATAAGATGTAGCGTGAAATGCTCTACAATCTAGGTAGTAAAGCTTATTTTAATTATGTAATTTTTGTTTTCAAAAAAAGCAAAATTCTGCACGATCGATTTTCTCAACCTTAAAAATTAGTCGCACAAAGTTTTGCTTTTTTTGGAACCAAAAAGTACACAATTGAAATAAGCTTTACTATCTAGATTGTAGAGCTTTTTACGCTGCATCTTGTGGTATATGTTGTTTTGTAATAAAACGTATTTCGAGATTAAAATATTAGATGCGAATTGCGATCATTTATTCTGAGTCACACGTTACTTTCTATGAAAATCGAATCGACTCGAAAGGGTTAAAGTTAAATATAAGTTAATATAAATATACAAGATCAGTTATTTATTCTCATCTTTTTTTGTTTTTTTTTAAGTTTTTAAATTTTTTAAAAACTCTGTTTAATTTTGTCTAAATCTCAACATTGCCTGTAAAATATTGTCTTGGTTTTACAAGATTGGCTAACAAAAACAAAAAGGTTTACTTTGTGAGAAGAAAGTTCATTATGATAAAATTTAGAACTCAAAAATAGACCTCTTTTTTT